CGTTAATAAAGAAGTGCCTCCAACTCTCCAAGCCTTATAATCTCCGAGTTAGTCACTACACAATACCTAAACGAGTGTTTCTAAAACGTGGAGGGAAAATCCCGGAGAAAAATAAACGCGACCACAAAAGAAAAGAGAGCGAGGGACCACGCAAACTGCAAATATACAGCAGCAGGCATTGTCAGAGTTTCCAGTTTTAGTTTTCAGTTTATTTATTTTGGTACTGTATAGCCCTGCGAGCCATTCGGCTCTTGAATCGGGTGCAACCACAACAAACAAACAAAAACATGAACAAGAAAAAACATCTTAAAGTGACTATGTGTGTGCAAACAGAAAATCAATGAAAAAACTGCAAAATATTCCTGAAAAAAGCACCGTATACCAACGCTGTGTGCAAAAAAAATCCCAGTGGGATGCAAGTCAAACAACAACAACAACCACAAGAAAACTTAGATTAGGGCCGTCAGTCTAACTCCGTACTACAACAAAACAAACATGTCCAAACCAAAAAACGTTTTCGAAATCACCAAACAATAAAGCCATAATTGCAACGTAACAGTGATCATAGGGACTGTGACCGAAATTTTACAATAAACTACATAAATAACAGAGTGGGAGTCGAACCCACGATCTTGTATACCAGGCGAGGTAGTTAACATCTCCTAGCCACCGTGATCTTGTGTTTTGATTTAGTGTGCTGATCTTTAAAGGTGCATTTAAAAATGTTGATACTCCAACTGATGCTCCTGTTGTTGTGGAGTGACTCATGCAGCCAGCTATGGCTGCAGGGTTTGGTGTTACATGTTGTTTATGTCGTTTATTGTGACATTTCGGGCACAGTTCCAATGATCACTGTTAGATTGCTTTTATGGATGTATTTTGGTGATTTCGAAAACTTTTTTGATTTGGCCATGTTTGTTTGTTGTAGTACGGAGTTAGACTGATGGCTTTAATTTAATCTAAGTTGTCTTGTGGTTGTTGTTGTTGTTTGACTTGCATCCCACTGGGATTTTTGCACACAGCGTTGGTGTACGGTGCTTTTTCTGGAAGAATTTTGCTGTTTTTTCCTGGACTTTTCTGTTTGCGCATAGTCACTTTAAGATGTTTTCTTGTTCATGTTTTTGTTTGTTGCGGTTGCACCCGATTCAAATGCCGAATGGCTCACAGGGCTATACCAAATAAATGAAACTGAAATGAAAATAATGATGGGAGAGATAAACTCCAAATATACAGCAGCAGGCGTCAGGGTCGGGATCGAACCCACGACCTCTTGCATACCAGGCGAGCTGGTTAACATCTCCTAGCCACCGTAATGATGAGAGAGACACGCAAACTCCAAATATACAGCAGCAGGCGTCAGGGTCGGGATCGAACCCACGACCTCCTGTATACCTGGCGAGGTAGTTAACATCTCCTAGCCACCGTGGCGCGCCCCTAGCGTCGTGTCGCGTTGACCACCCAACACACACCACCCCGGGTTGCCGTGTGGGGTGAGGATGTCCCTCACCCCACTCCACCACCCCAGTGGTGGAGACGAACGACCAAGACGGCAGCCAGAGGGCGAGCCACAAACATCGCCCCGAGAGACGAGGCGATGGTCCCACGGGCGGTGAACTCGGCTCGCCTACAGACTAGAATCCTGCGCCGTTGCCACAGGAACGTGGAACGTCCACCACTGGCGCTGCACGGGCTTGGCGAAGAGCACCGACGTCTCAACGCTGCTCATCTGAGCAGTGAAGTCTCCCGTGGGACGCTCGTTGAGAGATGGTGACGGTCCAACAGTGGATAGATCATGGCTGCCGAGGCCTACGCCTGAGCCCCGCCCTCCCGTCTCTCCTGGGCGTCTGACCCAGGGTCCTCGGCTGGAGGTCGGGGGGGAGGCGTCTAGGCAAGAGCGAGGCGCCTGCTCGGCCTATGCCTGGCAATAATAACGCGAGCATTTTGAGACCCAGGAATTCAGAGGTGCAGACAACAACATTGGGGGGGAAGTGTTGAATGTTGAGCGAGGCGAGTCGCCTTTGTATGCAGTTTTTTTTAATTGTCAAACGCCGTCATTTTATATGCATAACAAAGCAGCCGTGTCGGGGAACCTCGCGTTGCCAAGGCGACCGCGAAACTCGAATTTACACGAGTTTAAACATCTTACACTTCGGAACAAAGTTGCGGAGCAATCGCTAGCAAAGTCGGGAGCGACTTTAACTCGGTCGCAATTGTCATGATAGACTGAGCAGCCCAAACAACAACAAAAAAACACAATGTCAACAAAAACGAACTGCGAATGTTTAAAACATCTGCGCACCGCGGTGTGACCACCCAGTGTGGAGTCGCACAAGTGGCTTGGTCGTCGTTGCGTGTTTGTGTACAGCGCAAAGATCCCCCGCGTAGTCTCTTAAGGCCGTCACGGCACACGAAGAGGGTGGGTGTGGCCGGCACCACGCCCGGCCGCCTTTGTCTCCCTAGACGGCGATGCTTTTACTACACACCGCACCGGGTACTCATTGGAGGCTGAGTCGACCTAGGAGAGACCCAGGACCGGTTCAGACAGCATCACTGATGTTGGCCGTGAGCAGGAACCGAACTCGGGCGCCGGGTTAAAAGCGCCAGCACGATAACTGCCTTCCTCAGCGCTGACGTTTTTAACACACCGCACCGGGTACTAATTTGATGCTGAGTTGACCTAGTGGGGGTAGGGAAGACCTGGTTCAGGTATTCCCTCGCCACTGATGTAGACCGTGAGCAGGAGAAAACGAACGCGGGTCTGGCCGGGTTCGTAGCTCCAGTGCGCGAACCACTGCGCCACCGCTCCGCACACAGGTGTGCGTGCACCTGTACAGGTGTGCGTGCACCTGTACAGGTGTGCGTGCACCTGTACAGGTGTGCGTGCACCTGTACAGGTGTGCGTGCACCTGTACAGGTGTGCGTGCACCTGTACAGGTGTGCGTGCACACCTGTACAGGTGTGCGTGCACCTGTACAGGTGTGCGTGCACCTGTACAGGTGTGCGTGCACCTGTACAGGTGTGCGTGCACCTGTACAGGTGTGCGTGCACCTGTACAGGTGTGCGTGCACCTGTACAGGTGTGCGTGCACCTGTACAGGTGTGCGTGCACCTGTACAGGTGTACACACACGGGTACACCTGTACAGGTGTACACACACGGACACACCTGTACAGATGTACACACACACCCACACCTGTACAGGTGTACACACACGGGTACACCTGTACAGGTGTGCACACACGGGTACACCTGTACAGGTGTGCACACACACCTGTACAGGTGTACACACGCACACCTGTACAGGTGTACACACGGGTACACCTGTACAGGTGTGCACACACGGGTACACCTGTACAGGTGTGCACACACACCTGTACAGGTGTACACACGCACACCTGTACAGGTGTACACACACGGGTACACACACCTTCACGGGAGCGTTGCATAGGTAACGGGAGTCTCGTCTATTCTGCAGCACTCCCGGCGTCTCTCAGTGGCACTCACTCTGTTCAGAACCACTCTCTAATCGGAACCACGACCTTTTTAGAACCACTCACCTCACCAATTCAATACTCTCTCTTCCCCCCTCATATCTCCTCACCTGTATATCTCCCATCTTCTCCCCTCACTACTTTACCCCCCTATTCCCTCCTCTCGTTTCATTGCCTCTCCCTTGCCATCCCCTCTTTATCGCCTCACCCCACTCACCTTACCTCTTCATTTCCCAACCACCTATCCCATTCTCACCTCTTTATCTCCCCCTCCTTACATCTTTATCTCTCCCACTATACTCTCACCTCTTCACCCCCCCCCCCACAATCTTCCACACTCTCACCTCTTCATCCCCCCCCACATCTCCCCCACCCTCCTCTCACCTCTTCACCCCCCCCCCCCCCATCTCTTGCACTCTCACCTCTTCACTCACCCATAACCTCTCTCCCTCGTCTCCCCCACTCCCCACTTCATCCAGTCCCCCTCATCTCTTCACCCCCTCTGCCCCCATCTCTCCCACTCTCCTCTCACCTCTTCACCCCCCCCCCCCCCCACACGTCTCCCCCCTAGTCTCCCACTCTTTATGGCGCCACTCAACCAGTAGCCTCCGCGCCTCCTCTTCGAGTGGACACCGCTGCTGTGCTCACAGCGCCAATGAAACGAGAGTGTTGCTCCATAAGGCCATGGTGAACTTAAACGCGTCAATGTTTTGCATCAATGTACGACCTCCCGTAGCGGCACCCAAACCCTAGTATCGGGGATCGACCGAAAGTTGAACGGTGAAAGGTTGCACGCAACATTGCTGATGTTGCGTGCAATATGGTGGTTGTTGTTACGTGCAACATGGTTGTCTATTTTTCGTTGTTCTACACGAGTTACAACAGGGTACAGTTGCCAGTTACTCAACAACACAAAGCAACTTTGTTGAATCCCGCTTTCAAATCACGGACAATTTGTTTTTTGTCATTGAATACTGACGTTTTACCTCCCCAGGTGACGCCAACTGTGTGGTTATCGGCGTCACGTGGTCACGAGGCATGCATCTCGCACAGAACGGCCTGCGGAAGCGGATATCACAGAGCCACCTCTTAGATACCTTCTCCAGGTGACCGCTAGTCCACACACGGCAGACAGCGGCGCATCCTCACTCGCCCCTGCCGTATTGAGGGTAATGTTCATGGCGTGACTGACAAACGGACATTTGTAGTTCTCAGAAATGTAATTCGGCCAAATTAAGAATCGCGGTCAACTATAGATAGCACAACGCAGAGACAATGTTGCAATCAACAGCAAGAAAGTTGCACCATTCAACTTTGGGTTTCGGGGTTAAGAGCAGTGTGTCATTTGGGAATAGGGATAGGGTGAGAGTTAAGGGCTGGGGTAAGGTTTTTGGCTTGGTTTAGGCGTTGGGGAAATAATTAGATTTCGATTTGTTCGGAGTTGGGGAATGAGTTTAGGTTAGGGTTATATATGATAAATTCAGAGATTCGTGAGATGATTTTTGGGTAGGGGTGAGGGAGATAAGTTGAGGGATTTGCGGAATAGGTGGTGAAAGGAATAGGGGGGTAAGTGAGTATATAGAGGGTGTGTTGAACAATGAAGGGGAGGGTGAGTGATGGTATAGGGGGGTACGTGGGAAGAGAGGGTGGATGATTTTGGGGATTTGTGGATATGGGGTGAAAGGAATAGATGAGGGGGGATAAGGGGATGAGTGTGCGGGTCAGGGTTGGGTCTCTCTGCATAGGTGGGTGGTCTCGTGGGACGCGGCATGCGTGCGCAGCGACACGCGGCACTCACACCATCCCTGCGGCGCTCCCACAACCGCTGTGTAGTAGACCAGAGAGCCGTGCCGATCCGTTCCAACAGTGCATCCAGCAGCCGCTCATGTCTTATACCCCTGCAGTTCAATAGCCGCCCGGCTATGAATACACTGCCCCTGCCCATCCATTCCCTCCCTCCAGTGAGTTCTGGATCAATCACCACGGGTGCAGCGAGGTAGGAACTCAGGTTTTCTCCGCCTCAGATATGGACACGGGATTCCAGCTGCCCGAGTGACAGTTTGTGCAGCCACACGGCCCCGAACCGTATCGGCTTCTCTGGGAACCCAGGCTCTGCCAAATTTCCTGTTTCACGAAACGGACCAGCCTGCTACTCGGTGGTTGTGCGAACGTGGCAGCACTCACGCATACACTCATACGCAGACACAGAAATACACAAAGATCCTCCATGTATCCTACACAGGCTGTTGGTGCAAATTTTGTTAGCAAGCACCTATGACAGGGGTGGTATGGCGAGGATCACGCCTGGCCACCTTTGTCTCCCCAGTGCTGATTTTTTTTATTTACACCTCACCGGGTACTCATTTAATGCTGAGTCGAACTAGGGTGAGACCCAGCACCACCAGTTTGGATAATCGCCACTGATGTTGGCCGTGCGTGAGAGAAAGAATCGAATTGGGGTTGGCGTGTTTGTAGCGCATTGCGCTAACCATCATGCCACCACTCTCCATCTACACCCACACCGACGCACACACACACACACTCCCATTCCGCGTGTCACTACATTATACTCCATGTACATCCTCCTACATCCATAAAGTCACGCAGGATAACATACAGCTAACATACAGCTGACATACAGCTAACGCGAGCTAACAGACAGATGACGTACAGGTGACATACAGGTGCGTGCAGTGTAAACATGCAACGAGGGGGGGTCACTGAGAAACCCCGTGAGACCCCTAAGACCCCCATGATAACTCCCTCATTACCCCCCGAGACCCCCTTGGAAGCCCCCCACCCCCTCTTTTAGGGGAACTTTTGCAGGTCCACGAATGACCCTGGCGTCGTGGTGGAGCCGGGGAACAGGGGGGGAAGTCGGGGCCCAGGCCCCCTTAATCTGAAATGACACGAGGGGGGAGGGAGAGGAGGGGGGGGTCAAGGTTCACGTTAATGACGTTGTGATTGTGAGTGCGTGAGCGAGTCCGTGTGTGAATGTGAGTCCGTATGTGTGCCAGTGCGTGTGTGGGTCTGCCCCGTGACCTGCCAGCGGGCGTTCGACACTTCACGTGGCCTCAAGGTGCACATAGCTTGGCACAAGCGTCGTGGTTATGTCACCGCCACTTAGTGGCGAATGGCGGTTGAGTGTGAGTTTTCCAGGTGTGTGAGTGAGTGAACGAGTGAGTCAGTGCTCAGTGTCAGTGATCGTTACAGTGTGTGTGTGTGATCATGTCAGTGTATACATGTGTCAGTGTGTCCGTGTGTGTGTGTGTCTGTGTGCGAGTGTCTCGAGCAGTTAGCACGATGTACTAAGAACTCAGCGATCTGACTTCGATTCTGGCTCACGGCCAACATCAGTGATGCTATCTCAATCGGTTCTGGGCATCCCCTAGGTCGACTCGGCCTCAAAATAGTACTGTACCTGGTGCGATGTGTAAACATCGCCATGAGGGAGACAATTGCGGCTGGGTGTAGTGCTGGCGACCCATCTATGTGCCGTGCCAGCCTTCGTAGGTGCTCGCTAACAGCACTCGCCCCTACAATCTGTCAAGGCCATACGAGAGATCTTTGTGTGAGCGAGTGTGTCACCGAGTGTGTGCTCACACGCATCGGGGGCCGTGCTGTGGGGTGCCCCCGCGGCCCCTCCCCTCGCAGGGCTGCTGGAGGGGGGAGGCGTCGGGGGGGGCACGGGGGAAGGGGGGGGGGGCCCTCCTGACTCGAGCCCAGATGCAGCCTCTGCATGTGCCGCACCACGGCCGTGGCATTGAACGCGCGCTGGGTGGGGGGGGGCACAGGGGGCAAAGGGGGCACGGGAGAGAGAGTTAAAATCCATTCTCACGCTGTCCCACTGCTGGTCACACGGAAGCTCTCTCCGTCCATCTGTATCGAATCAAAGTTAAATGTATGATTGTTTATTTAATCTCTCCGATCGTTTACGCAGGAAAGCCCTACTGAGCCTCGTGACTCTTTTTTGTTCCACGAGGGTCCTGCCCATACAGGAGTGGTGGTGGGGGGGGGGGCGATTTTTTTTGCGTAGCTCCCCAGCCGAGAGTTGATCCAACAAAGTTGAGCTGAACTTGCAGTGTGTGTTAGGTCGTGTTGATCCATGGGACCTCGGCATGGACAGCCTGCACACAGTGAGCAAAGCTGCTCCCTCCTCCCTCCTACTCCTCCCTCATCCTCCCTTCTCTTTCTTCCTCCCTCCTCCTCTTCCCTCCTCCTGTTCCCTCCTCTGGAGAATGCACGTGGGGATCCCAGCGTAGAGCGACCACCTCCTCGACACGTCCGTCAATGGGCCTTGTTCTTCTTCATATCACATACAGCTATTAATTTACATGCCATGAAGGGCCATTGCCTAAAACGCCGACGAGCGAAGTTCACGGAAACGGTGGAACAGGGGGGCCACCACTGCGTTGCCAAACTTTGCCAGAGTTTGAAAAATGACACTGCAAGCGACTCGGTCGTGGTTGCTACGCGAACTCACGACGCATGGCAACCACGGCCCCCGACTACGAAGAACGTGGCAGGACCCTCCTGCAGAAACGCCTTGAGACTCGCTAGAGCGGCACGCGCCGGGGGGGGGGGGGGGGAGTGCAGGGGTCGACGGTGCCCCCTCTACGACCCCAGCAACTGCTGCGGGCTTGCATCGTGCTCCCACACTGACTTAGGCCTGCCACCGTTCCGTTTGCACGTCGGCATGCGGTCCTGAGTAGTCCGAGGACCCCCAAATAGGGAGGTCCCACCCCCTACACCCCCCATCCCGTACCTTCCACTTGCGCTTGGCGAAGTTCTTACGAATCTGCGCGCTCACGGACTCGTGGATGTTCTTGTCGAGCGCCGTGTCCCCTGCGATCCTGTGGGGGGGTGGGGGGGGGTAGGGAAGGCGTCACGGCGATACTGGATGTGGTGTGCACACAGCGTCGCAATGCATTGTGGGTTGCTGGCAGAGACTGCGGTGGGCGGCACGTGACGAGTAACAACTGCAAAAGGATCTTCGTGAGAGGTGGAATACTGGATGTGGTGTGCCGGGATTGTGTGTATGTATGTATATATACTGTGAGGAGCGGTAGTGTACATGTTTGTTTTGTTGTAGTACGGAGTTAGACTGACGGGCTTAATCTAAGTTTTCTTGTGGTTGTTGTTGTTTGACTTGCATCCCACTGGGATTTTTTTGCACACAGCGTTGGTGTACGGTGCTTTTTCAGGAATATTTTGCTGTGTTTTTTCATGGATTTTCTGTTTGCACAGTCACATAATCACTTTAAGATGTTTTCTTGTTCGTGTTTTTGTTTTTTTGTTGTGGTTGCACCCGATTCAAGAGCCGAATGGCTCACAGGGCTATACCAAAATAAATAAAACTGAAAAAAAACGGAATAGTGTAGCGGTTAGAACGCTGCGCTACGAACCCGGTGACATAGCTGTGACTCCCACCCACGACGATAATCTGAACCGGTCCTGGGCCTCCCCTAGGTCTACTCAGCCCGGTGTAGCGTGTAAACATCGCCACTAGGGAGACAAAGGCGGTCGGGCGTGGAGCTGGCCACCCACCTCGTAGTGTCCTGTGCCGGCCTTGATAGGTGTTCGCAAACAGCACTTGCCCCAACAGTCTGCTAAGGCTATACAGGAGATATTTGTCTTTGTATGTACTGTATACATGCTTGTGGTTCAGAGACCCACCCCCCTTTGCCCGGTAGTAGGATCCGATGCAACCCTCATCCACCCTCCTGATCCCCTGAATTGTTTATAATCGTTTATTATTATTCACCTGGATAATCCCTTGTGTTGGAACATCCTGCCGACAAGCATGAACCTCTTTACCCAAACTGCTCCTCTCTCCATTTCTCTCCTTCCTCACCCTCTCCCTCCCCCCTCCCATTTTTCCCTCCCCCTCTCTCTCTCCCCCCTCTTTCTTCTCCACCACTCTCCATCCCTCCCTCCTTCCTCGCCCTCGCTCCCTCCCCCTCTCTCCCTCCCTCTCTTCCCTCCCCCCTCCCTCTCCTCCCTCCCCCCTCCCTCTCCTCCCTCCCCCCCTCCCTCTCCTCCCCCCCTCCCTCTCCTCCCTCCCCTCTCTCCTCTCCCTCCCTCTTCTCCACCACTCCCTCTTTCCCCCCTCTCTCTTCTCCACCACTCCCCCTCCCTCCCCCCGTTCCTCCCCCCTGCTCACCACGGGTGCTGCAGCGCCTGCTCACACGTGAACCGCTCAGCCACATCCTTCTCCATGAGGTGACGGATGAAATCCTTGGCTATAACAGACAAAATGGTCAGCAGCAGTATCATCAGAATCGTATTACTTTTCTGCGATTTAATTTTTTGATTTCACCAGGTTAAGGCCCACTGAGCTATGTAGCTCTTTTTCAGAAACGACCCGGCTATCGCAAATGATAGCTCAACGAAGTGGCTCATCGTGTAGCAATGTATAGCAGTTAGCCAAATACTCTAAACGCGTGTTTCTAAATGTGGAGGGAAAACCCGGCGGACCCCAAGAAAAATCCATGCGACCAAGGGGAGAACATGCAAACTCCTAATATACAGGTGTCAGGGCCGGGATCGAACCCACGACATCCTGCATACCAGGAGAGGGAGTTAACATCTCCTAGCCACCGCGGTTCCCCATTAGACACTGTAGTCATCGCCATTGTAACCACCGTCACCGTGCTCACCGTCATCCTTTATCTCACCGCACTGGGTGTGTTCACCACGGTGAACTGGGGTAATGATCAGTGTTACGGTGACCCCTGTGGGGTATTGGTCAGGGTGAACCCATGGGGTAGAGGTCAGATTCTTCGTGACTTCAATGGGGTAGAGGTCATGTTCATGGTGACCCATTTGGGGATTATAGGTCAATGTTACTGTGACTCCTGCTGGTAGTGGCCACAGTGAGCCCGTGTGATAGGGGTCGGGGTGACCTCGGTGGCGACCCCGTGACCTCACCAGAGTCGGAGATGTCGTCCCAGTAGGGGGAGTCGAACTCGTACTCTGCCTTTAGGATTTGGTCGAATAGACGTGAGTCGACCTCGTCGTAGAACGGAGGGTACCCGCACAACCTGCAGTACCGCACACAGCCACGTGTACCACCGCACTATCATGTACAACCGCGCCACCACGCTACCATGTGTACTAACGCACCACCACGTGTGCCACCGCACTATTGTGTACAACCGCGCCACCACGCTAACGCACCACTGCACTACCGTATTTCAGCACTGGAAAGATAAAGGCGGCTGGGTGTGAGAGTGTGAGTCAGTGAGAGTGAATTATTGAGGTTGAGTGAGTGAGAGTAAGTGAGAGAGTGTGAGTGATTTAATGAAAATGAGTGCGTGAGAGAGTGAGTGAGAGTGCCAGACTCACAGGATATAGGAGATCACCCCGATAGACCAGCAGTCCACAGCACGCGTGTACGGCTTCTGAGCCAGAACCTCGGGGGCTTCACACGCAGGTGAAAACACACGGGGTAAACAAACACACAGGTAAATACACAGGTGAACACACACAGGTGAACAGTGACAAAGATTCCCCGTAAAGCCTTAACAAACTTTTGGGGAAAGTGTTATTAGTGAGCACCTATGAAGGCTGTAACGGCACACGAGGGGGTGGGTGGCCGGCACCACGCCCGGCCGCCTTTGTCTCCCCAGTGGCGATGTTTAAACACCGCACCAGGTACTCATTTGAGGTTGAGTCGAACTAGGGGAGGCCCAGGACCGGTTTTGATAATCGTCAGTGGTGTTGGCCACGAGGGGGAATCGAACTCAGCTCGCTGGGTTCGTAGCGCGGTGCGCTAACCGCTACACCACTGCTCCCCACACACGGGTGAACAGAGACACCCATACACACAGGTGACCACACATGCACACAGGTGAACACGTACACACACGTACATACCAGTGAACACGTACACAAGTAAACGCACTCAGCGGGGAGGCGTTTGGGCCGCCCCTGCATCCGCTCCGGCGGTGACGGCGCGTGCATGTGCCGTACCCACGTATCCCGGTGTGCCGCATGCCGTGGACATCACGCTGCCCGGCGCCTCCACCTTGGAGAGGCCGAAGTCGCTGATCATGATCTTGGAGTCGTCCTCGGCGCTGTAGTACAGCAGGTTCTCCGGCTGGAGGCACCGTCACCGTTACATCGTCATCGTTGCATCATCGTTACAATCACTCTGCATCGTCAAAATTAAATCACTCAATGTCACCGTGATGTTACGCGGCAAATTCATCGTGCGACTTCACTTGATATCACCGTGAGTAGTGAGTGAGTGGTGAGTGAGTGGGTGGTGAGTGAGTGATGAGCGAGTCTTGCGTGAGTGGTGTGCGAGTGTTGATGGCGAGTGGGTCGTGCGTGCGTGCGTGGGTGGCGAGTGAGTCGTGGGTGTTGACGAGCGAGTGGTGGTGAGCGAGGGAGTGAATGAGTCGTGCGTGAGCGGCGAGTGGACGCTCACCTTGAGGTCACGGTGCACCACGCCTTGGCCGTGGAGGTGCGAGACTGCGCGCAGCACCTGGCGGATGAGGGCGCTCGCGTCGCGCTCCGTGTAGAAGCCGCGCTCCACGATGCGGTCAAACAGCTCCCCGCCCGACACCCTGCAGCACCCAGCAGCATCAACAACAACACCAAATAGCATCAACAACAACACCCAGCACCATCAACACCCTGCAGCACCCAGCAGCACCCAGCAGCATCATCAACAATACCCAGCTGCATCAACAACACCCAGCACCATCAACACCCTGCAGCACCCAGCAGCATCATCAACAATACCCAGCCGCATCAACAACAACACCCAGCACCATCAACACACTGCAGCACCCAGTAGCATCAACAACAACACCCAGCACCATGAACACCCTGCAGCACCCAGCAACATCAACAACAACACCCAGCACCATGAACACCCTGCAGCACCCAGCAGCATCAACACCAAGCAGCACCCAGCTTCAACATCCTGCAGCACCCAGCAGCATCAATAAAAACACCCGGTATCAACAACACCCAGTAGCATCGTCAACAACAACAAACACCCAGCAGCAGCATGAACAACAACAACACCCAGCATCATCAACACACAGTGGGTCTGTTCGTGTCCGCGAAACAGAGAGTTAATTTCCCGTTCACGACCAGTAATGGGGGGCGAATGTGTGGACCGGTCCTGTGCCTCCTTCTCGGTGATCTCAGCGTTAAATGAGTAGCTGGTGCGTTGGTTGTTACACATCAGCACTGGAGAGACAAAGGTGGCAAGGCGTGGTGCTGGCCACAACAGCAGCAAGTGCTGTTGAGCTGCCCCCCCGGCAGCATTTAGCCACAACACTCAGAATAGAGGCAACGAGGGGGATCTGTGTCTGTTAGTTCATTTCTAGTTCATTTATTTGGTATAGCCCTGTGAGCCATTCGGCACTTGAATCGGGTGTAACCGCAACAAACAAAAAACATGAACAAGAAAACATCTTAAAGTGACTATGTGTGACTGTGCAATCAGAAAATTCAGGAAAAAACATCAAAATATTCCTGAAAAAGCACCGTACACCAACGCTGTGTGCAAAAATCCCAGTGGGATGCAAGTCAAACAACAACCACAAGACAACTTAGATTAAATTAAAGCCATCAGTCTAACTCCGTACTACAACAAACAAACATGGCCAAACCAAAAAACTTTTCGAAATCACCAAAATAAAGCCATAAATGCAATGTAACAGTGATCACAGGGACTGTGACCGAATTTTTAACAATAAACTACATAAATAACATGTAACACCAAACCCTAGAGCCATAGCTGGCTGCATGAGTCACTCCACAACAACAGGAGCATCAGTCGGAGTATCAACATTTTTCAATGCACCTTTAATATCAGCACACTAAACCAAAATACAGATAATACTTTGCAGCAGTCATCCGGAGCGAAAACATTTTCTTTTATTTTAGTTTGTGCGTGACAATGTCGGGGCTCACAGCTGCATGATAAGGTAGAGGTGCGAGTCGGTCTCGTAGATGTCCTCCAGCGCGATGATGTTCTCATGTTTGATCCTGGGGCACACGCGCACGCACGGCACACCACATCCAGTATTCCCCTCATCTCTCTGCGGCTGTGGTCAACACTGAGCCACGGACCACTCGCTCCATTTGCTTAACCATGACCGGGAAAATATCCGCGCGAGAAATTCAATCCTGGGCATCGCCATCATTAACATCACCAGCATCATCACTGTTATCACTCTCATCACCACCATGGTCACGAATAATAGCATCGTCACCATCTCCCTAATCATCTCCAGGCACCAACGATACACACAGCCTGAACCTCAAATGGTAGGGTCCATTAAATAATTCTGTAGCCTCTCCTCTCTCACCTGGAGAGCACGTGCGCTCCGTGCCCCACGTGACGCTCGCCTGGAAAGCACGCGTGCTCGTTACACCACGTGACTCACCCGGATAGCACGCACGCCGCACGTGACTCTCACCTGGAGAGCACGCACGCCCACGTGCCCCACGTGACTCTCACTTGGAGAGTACACACACCCACGTGCCCCACGTGACTCTCACCTGGAGAGCACGCACACCCACGTGACTCTCACCTGGAGAGCACGCACACCCACGTAACTGTCACCTGGAGAGCAGGCACAGCCACGTGACTCTCACCTGGAGAGCACGCACACCCACGTGACTCTCACCTGGAGAGCACGCACACCCACGTGACTCTCACCTGGAGAGCACGCACACCCACGTGACTCTCACCTGGAGAGCACGCACACCCACGTGACTCTCACCTGGAGAGCACGCACACCCCCGTGACTCTCACATGGAGAGCACCCACACCCACGTGACTCTCACCTGGAGAGCACACACACCCACGTGCCCCACGTGACTCTCACCTGGAGAGCACGCACACCCACGTGACTCTCACCTGGAGAGCACGCACACCCACGTGACCCTCACCTGGAGAGCACGCACACCCACGTGACTCTCACCTGGAGAGCACGCACACCCCCGTGACTCTCACATGGAGAGCACCCACACCCACGTGACTCTCACCTGGAGAGCACACACACCCACGTGCCCCACGTGACTCTCACCTGGAGAGCACGCACACCCACGTGACTCTCACCTGGAGAGCACGCACACCTCGTTCTCCACGGTGTTGTCCTTGCCGCGGAGTGCCGTCTTGGCGATGCACTTGATGGCCACGTGCCTCCCCGTGGAGCGCTCCTCTGCCAGCACCACCTCTGAGAATGCGCCCCTGAGACACGGGGAGACACGGGGAGACAAGCGGGGGGGTCACGGGGACACACGCGGAGTCGCGGGGCGACTTGGAGACAAGGGTGGTCATGGAGAGACGCAGAGAGACACACGCAGAGACACGTCCCAGCCTTCATAAGTGCTCACGAACAATTTTTGCCCCAACAGCCTGTGCAAGCTACACGGGGGATCTTTGTCTTATACTTATGCCTGTCTGTATGTATGTGTCCGAGTGTATGTGTATACAGTATATGTATTGAAAACGAGTGTGTGTGTGTTTACATGTGTTGATGTATGCTCACAACAACGAGCGGAGCACTGGGCGGCTAAAACGCAGAGAGTTGGTACAGCAATCTCGGTCAACCCATGGCACCTGGGCCTGTTCCGTGACCTGCGAGCGAGTCCTTCGACACTTCACGTGGGCTCAAAGTGCACCTAGCATGGCACAAGCGCCGTAGTGACGTCATCGTCACTTAGTGGCGAACGACGGTTCTTATTGCTCTGAGTGTACGTGTATATGTGTACGCGCATGGCCTCCAGAGTGCACCGAGCCTGGCACGGGCACTGTGTTGAATTCGCCGCCACCACGTGGCGAGTGAATGCATGCGCATTGCGTCCCCTCGGGCGAGAGGGGCCCCTTTCCGGGGGTCCCCTCGGGTGAGAGGGGCCCCTTCACGGGGTCCCCGCAGGCGAGAGGGGCCCCTTCCCGGGGGTCCCCTTGGGCGAGAGGGGCCCCTTCCCGGGGGTCCCCTCGGGCGAGAGGGGCCCCTTCACGGGGTCCCCGTGGGCGAGAGGGGCCCCTTCACGGGCGAGAGGGGCCCCTTCCCGGGGGTCCCTCGGGCGAGAGGGGCCCCTCCATCCTTCCCCTCCTCCCCCCCCCCCCATACAGAAAGAAAACTGCTAATGTGGACAACCGTGAACTGTCACACACACACATGGGTTACATATTAAAACAAAGATCCCTCGCGTGAACACACAACGTGCTGCGAAGGCCTCGACGGGTGCACCACCGGTGGTGGAGGGGAGGGTGGTGGGCAGGGGTGTGGTCAGAACCGCACCCGGCCGCCTTTGTCTCTCCCAGTAGAGATACTAAACACAGGGGGGCTCTTCGCACGCAGGCCTGGCCACTCGCCAGGTTGAGTCTGCGAGCTGCTGCTGTCCTCACTTCTGCTTTTCCCAACGAGAACACGAGGAGGAAGAGGAGAGGGAGTGTGTGTGTGGGACTGTGTGGTTGTGTGTGTAGTGGGGAGCGATAGTGTAGCGGTTAGCGCGCTGCGCTATGAACCTGGCGACCCGGGTTCGATTCCCGCTCACGGCCAACACCGGTGACGGTCCTGGGCCTCCCCTAGGTCGACTCAGCCTCAAAGCAGTACCTGGTGCGACGTGTAAACATTGCTACTGGGGAGACAAAGGCGGTCGGGCGTGGTGCTGCCCACCCACCCCCTCCGTGTGTCGTGTCGTCCTTCATAGCTGCTAGCTAACAGCACTTGCCCCGACAGTCTGTAAGGCTATGAGGCAGATATTTGTTGGAGTGAGTATGAGTGTGCGTGGAGGTATGTGTGGGAGTGAGCGTGCACGTGTGGGGAGCGCAGTGATTAGCACTCCACGAACCCGGCGACCCGAGTTCGATTTCCACTCGCAGAAAAAAAACAGTGACGATTATCTGAACTGGTCGAGGGCCTCCCGTAGGTTGACCTTGGATCAACATTACAACTCCTCTGGCATTTCAAACCCAGAACACAACTGACCAAGGCCGTAGCCATGGAGACAACATTGGGGGGGACTAGGGGGGGGGGTCCCAACCCAGAAAAATATCTAAATTTGAAAACTCATTTCCTGCCTAAAATATTTCAAAATTCACGAACACATGGGATAGACTTTTTATTTATTTTTGACAATGTCTAATAGTGTGTTGTATTACATTGCTCTGTTTTTACTTTTTTTTACCATTGCTTGTTTCATTGTATGTAATGGCAGAGATTAGGGATTAATAAAGTACAACCACAATCATATAAACATAAATCTATGCATTGATTTATATGAAGACAAGTCCAGATATTGTGGCCAAGGTTTAGCAAATTGTTGTTTGGATGTGTCCCCCAATATATATTATAATTACGGCCTTGCAACTAACACATGGCATCATCAGGTATGGGTGGTGTGGGTGGCCAAAGGGAGGAGTGGAGGATACAAAGATCCCCCGTGTAGCCTTGGCAGACTATTGGGGCAAGTGCTGCTCGCGAGTATCACCTTCGAAGGGCGGCACGGAGAACAACACCATCAAACAACTAACACCCACCACAACCTTCAACTAATGTCATTGTCAAAAATACCATCACCATCACCGCCAACACCACAACCACTAACAGCACTACAACCAGTAACTGACGCACCGGTTACACCTTAACAGATTATTTGGGCAAGGGCTGTAAGCGAGCACCGATTAAGGCCTAAACAGCACACGATGGGGTGGGTGACCAGCACCGCGACCGGCCGCCTTTGCCTCCCGTTACAAATCGCACCAGGCACTACCATTTTGACGGGTTCATGTAATCGCCGCTGTTATTGACCGTGAGCGGGAATCGAACTCGGGTCGCCGGATTCGTCGCCGGATTCGTAGCCGCAGCGCGCTAACCACTGCACTACCGCAACCCTCTACAAACACCGAATCCCCCCCCCCCCCACCGTGTAACCCAATCCTGCGCGTTAGCCAAGTACACACACAATCCCGCTGTGTGTGTGTACCTACAGCACCACGTGTGTTTTAGGCACACAACACTCGCAGACGAACGACAATCTGACGACGACGACGTCACGGCGACGGCACAACCTGAATGCGTTGTGACGTCACCGTTGTGACGCAGCGACGCGAGTGCCGAGTTCTGCGTTGTGCGCGTCGACCTGGGGATCAGACGTCTCACAGAGAGGAGGCAGCCCTTGCCTATAAACCAAGGCCGTAATTATAATATATTGAGGGGGACACATCCCAACACATCACCCCCAATATTCAAATATGCTCAAAATGTCCCCCCCCCAATATATTGCTATAAAAAATAATTGCTATGCTATGTAAATGAAAACAACAATTTGCTAAACCTTGGCCACAATATCTGGACTTGTCTTCATATAAATCAATGCATAGATTTATGTTCATATGATTGATTGTGGTTATGGTTGTACTTTATGAATCCCTAATCTCTGCCATTACATAAAATGAAACAAGAAATGGTAAAAAAAGTAAAAACAGAGCAATGTAATACAATAACACACTCTTAGACATTATTGTAAAAAAAAAGTCCATCCCATGTGTTTAGTGAATTTTTGAATATTTTAGGCAAGAAATGAGTTTTCAAATTTAGATATTTTTTCTGGATTGGGACCCCCAGACACCCTGGAAGATTTGGTCCCCCCCCCCAATGTTAACTCCATGGCTACGGCCTTGCTATAAACACCTGGGCAGTTTCACGAGCACAGGATCAAGCGAGCCAGAGACACTGCTGATGAGACGCTGAATGACGAAACCGGTCCAGAGTTGTGCAACGCGTTGAATCAACGCGTGCCGAAGTGATGCGCGTTGACTCGAGATTTAAGGGCCGCGCGGGCTGACCGTGACGTGTACGGAAAGGTCGTCCTTGTTGATGTGGAGGGCTGACGTGGGAAGAAGGTGGGGGCGGATCGTCGTCTCGCGCAGTTGCTTTGTCAACAGAACCCTTCACTGCGTGTGCACAGACCGCAGAGATAGAGATCGCCCGGATAGCCTCCACAAGCTGCGGGGGAAAGTGCTGTTAGCGAGCATCTATGCAGGCCGTCACGGCTCACCATGAGGGTGGTCGTGTGCCAAAAATAAAACACAAGTGCCGGCCGCCTTTGTCTCCCCGGTGCACCAGGTAAGTTGTTTGAGGCCGAGGCGCCACAGGGGATGGGGGGGGGCAGGACCGGTTTGGATAATCGTCACTGGTGTTGGCCGTGCGCGGGAATCGAACTCAAGGTCGCTGGGAATGGTCGAACTCTATACGCCGGGTCCGTAGCGCACTGCGCTAACCGCTGCCCCACCGCTCCCCGCGCCGGCGTTTGGGGATGAATTCATTCGCGGGGCGCAGCTGGGACGAGGGAGTGAGGAGTGTGGGGTGTGTGTGCACGTGTGTGTCTGTGTGTGCACGTGTGTGTGGGGTGTGTGTGTGCGCACGTGTGTGTGTGTGCGCACGTGTGTGTGTGTGCGCACGTGTGTGTGTGTGCGCACGTGTGTGTGTGTGCGCACGTGTGTGTGTGGTGGGTGTGTAGGGGGTGTGTAGGGGGTGTGTAGGGTGTGTGTGTGGGGGGGGGGGGTGCACGTGTGTGTGTGTGCACGTGTGTGTGTGATGTGTGTGTAGGGGGTGTGTAGGGGGTGTGTAGGGTGTGTGGGGGGGGGGGGCACGTGTGTGTGTGTGCACGTGTGTGTGTGATGTGTGTGTGCGTGCGTGTCTCCACGAGGGCTATGCGCTGCATCTGTGTCTGTTTGTGCGTGGTGCTGACTACCCACCCGCCTCGTGTGCCGTGTCGTCCCGAATGGGTGCTCGCTAACAGCACTTGCCCCACCAGTGTGTTAAGGCTATACGGGGGATCTTTGTATGTGTGAGCACGAGGCCGTGGTGTTGGCCAAACCGCCCCGAATAGGAGCTACTCACTAACAGGATTTGCCCCAATAGCCCGTGTGAGCTATAACGTACGGTGCGAAAAACAATTCGACACACTGTACATACACACATGGGGGATATTTATCTGTGCGAGTGGGGGCGCAGCGGTTAACGCACTGCGCCACGAACCCGGCGAGCAGAGTTCGACGATTCGCGGCGACCCCGAGTTCAATTCCCGTGCAGGGACAACCCCAGTGGCGATGATCCGAACCGGTCCTGGACATCTCGCCCCCGATATCGACTTGCCCTCGAGCAGCAACCCGGTGCGATGTGCATAACAACCATCGGCACTAGGGAGACAAAGGCGGCCGGGCGTGGATTTGTCCACACTGCATCGCCCACCCCCCTACTTGGAGCGCCGTGTCGGCCGTCAGTGGCGACTCGTGAACAGCACTTGCCCCAGTAGCCAGTTTAGGCTCAAACGGGGGAAGGGTGTGTGTGTGTGTGTGCGCAGAGCCCATATTTGAGATTCTTTACCAATGAGGAATACCAAATAAATAACTCACAAATCTTTTATACTTCTCGCCTCAATGCACGTGTGAGTGCTATGTCTGTGCAGTGCCGGATGATACTCATAGCAAAAGTAGCTACATGTGTAGCTGCTACATTATGTAGCTGCTACATTATGTAGCTGCTACATGTGTAGCCGCTACATGTGTAGCCGCTACATGTGTAGCTGCTACATTATGTAGCTGCTACATGTGTAGCAGCTACATAGTGTAGCTACTACATGTGTAGCTAAATGCTTTCAAGCTATCAATTCCAGTTCAATGATTCTGCACTTGCTCTATCGCTATAGTACTATACCGCCTTCAACTTTTATGAACGACTTGGTGTTTAAGGTTAGAGATTTGTCGTATTATCTGGCTGTATAGCAAATGAAAAAATACAATTACTTTACTATGCAAGTAAAACATGTGTTTTTATATTTATGTGTTTAAAAAAAATTAGGACCCCTTTATAACATATGCTACAGGCCCCGCACGAGCTAGTCCGGCACTGTGTCTGTGCGCGTGCGTCTCTGACGGATGTGCGGCATCTGCCAGTCATCTCAATTCAGTCAACCCATGGGCACCTGGGACAGTTCCGTGTGGTCTCAAAGTGCACCTAGCCTGGCACAAGCGCCGTGGTGACGTCACCGCGACTTGGTGGTGAACGCGGGTTGTTGTTGTTGTCTGTGTGTACACGTGTGGGGAGCGCGGTAGTGTAGAGGGTAGTGTAGCGGCTAGCGCGCTACGAACCCGGCGACCCGAGTTCGATTCCCCCTCACGGCTACCAACACCGGTGACGATTATCTGAACCGGCCCTGGGCCTCTGCTAGGTCGAGTCAGCCTCAAATGAGTACCTGGTACGGTGTGTAAACATCGCCACTGGGGAGACAAAGGCGGCCGGGAGTGGTGCTGGCCACCCACCCGCTCGTGTGCCGTGCCGGCCTTCATAGAGTGCTCGCCCACAGCACTTGCCCCAACGGTCTGTGTGACGTCCGTAGAGGAAGAGATGATTGAGAGATGGTGAGGAGATGAAGGTTGATGAGAGCTCACTGGATGTGAAGAGAAGATATTGAGCAACGGATGATTAAGAGAAGACCGTGTTCAGGAAATGAGCAGATGATGAGGTCGTAGGATCGTGACAGATCAAGAGGAGACGTTGGAGATGTTGAGATGACGATGAGATGATGTTGTTGAGGAGGGGGAGATGATGTTGTTGATGATGGTGATGATTTTGAGATGGTGGTGATGGTGTTGAGGATGAGATGATGGGAATGATGTTGAGATGATGGTGCTGAAGACATGATGGTGATGGTGTTGAGGAGTAGATGAAAGTGAGGAGATAGATGATGGTGATGTTGAGATGATGGTGCTAAAGAGATGATGGTGATGGTGTTGAGGAGTAGATGAAGGTGATGTTGAGGAGATAGATGATGGTGATGTTGAGATGATGGTGATGGTGTTGAGGAGTAGATGAAGGTGATGTTGAGGAGATAGATGATGGTGATGTTGAGATGATGGTGCTGAAGAGATGATGGTGATGGTGTTGAGGAGTAGATGAAGGTGATGTTGAGGAGATAGATGATGGTGATGCTGTTGAGATATTCATGAGAAGGTATTGAAGACGTGACGAGACCCGCGAGCGGAACTCGTGGTTCGATTCCCCGGGGTTTGAATGAAATGAGGAACTAAACAGAGACACAGGTCCCCCCGGTAGCTTACACAGACTATACGGGCAAGTGCTGTTAGCGCGTAGTACCACGTATAAAGGTCGCCACGGTTGGTATGGCCGGGACCACGTCCAGCCGCCTTTGTCTCTCCAGTGCCGATATTCACACCGCACCAGGAACCAATTTAAAGTCGCGTCGACCGAGGACCGGTTCAGATATTTCCTGCCACGTGGGTCGCCGGAATCGTTGCGCAGTGCACCTAACCACTTCGCCACCGCTCCCCACACACATACACAAGACACAAAGATCCCCCGTGTAGCCTGTAACAGACTGTTGGGGCAAGTGCTGTTAGCGAGCACCTATGAAGGCCGACACGGCACACGAGGGGGGTGGGTGGCCAGAACCACGCCCGGCCGCCTTTGTCTCCCCCTAGTAGCGATGTTTACTGCACACCGGACCAGGTACTCATTTGAGGCTGAGTCGACCTAGGGGAGGCCCTGGACCGATTCAGATAATTGTCACCGGTGTTGACCGTGAGCCGGGAATCGAACTCGGCTCGCCGGCTTCGTCGCGCAGTGCGGTGCGCTGACCGCGACACTACCGCTCCCCGCACACGTCCACACGCACACAAAGGCAAAGATCCCTCGCATAGCCTTGACGCACTTTCGAGACAAGTGCTGCTCGCGAGCAAAAGCAGCAGCGCCGCCTATAAAGGTCGGCACGGCGCACGACGAGGGAGTAGGGGGGGGGCGGTGTGAGTCAGCACCACACCCGGCCGCCTTTGTCTCCCCAGTGACACGCGCGCACACACGTACACGCGCGCGCGCACGCACGCGGACACACGGCACTCACGTCCCCAGGACGTCTCTGAAGAGGAAGAGTCCCTTGATGTCCGGCGTCTGCTTCTTCTCGGGGCCTCCGCCCTCTGCGCGAAGTGGCATCGCCACCCTCTGCCGCTCTGCGTCCCGCTGCCTTACCTCTCCCTTCTCTCTCCAGCCCCCCGCGCGCGCGCTCTTCTCTCTCTAAATCCTCTCCACCTCTGCCCTCTAGCTCTCTCTCTCTCTTGTCCCCGCGCTTCTCCCTCCCTCTCTCTCTCGCTCGCCTCTCTCACCCACCACTCCTCTCGCACTCTCTCGTCCCTCTCTGATCTCTCTCCTCACTCTAATCTTGTTCCTCTCCTTGCCTCTCCCTTATGTCTCTCTTATCTCGTTCTCTCTCTCTCTCTCCCTCGCGACGTTGCTGCGACCCAAGTAGGCTGCGGAACGCGGAGTTCGGGTCACGGAGGAGGAGGGGCTGGGTTCGATGCCCCGCGCTTTGCTTGGCAGCTTCACGCGCTGCTCTCTCTCCTGCTCTCTCTCCTGCTCGCGCTGCTCTCTATCCTGTTCGCACCCCCCCCACCGACCCCTCCCCCTTTAGACGCAGAGAACCGCAAGGGCGGAGCGACTGTCTCGCTCTCTCTCTCTTTCCCTCCCTCTCCCTTCGCTCTCGCTCCATCTCCCTAAATCTTCTTTCCAAGCTCTCCCTCCCTGTCTCGCCTTCCCCTCTCTTCCTCTCCCAGTCTCTCCCTCCATCTCCCACTCTCTCCCTCCATCTCCCACTCTCTCCCTCCATCTCCCACTCTCTCCCTCCATCTCCCACTCTCTCCCTCCATCTTCCTCTCTCTCCCTCCATCTCCCACTCTCTCCCTCCATCTCTCTCTCCCTCCATCTCCCACTCTCTCCCTCCATCTCCCACTCTCTCCCTCCATCTCCCACTCTCTCCCTCCATCTCCCACTCTCTCCCTCCATCTCTCTCTCCCTCCATCTCCCACACTCTCCCTCCCTCCATCTTCCTCCCGTCTTGCCGTCCGCTCTCTCCCTCTCTTCATCTCCCACCCCTCCCTCCTTCTCGCCCCCCCCCCCCGCTCCCCCTCCAGCCTCGTCCCTGGGGGAGCCTCCTCTCTGTGCGGGGTCAATGAGACGTAAATTAATTGAATCGCTAATTACCCCGCGAGACACGGGGGTGGGGGGGGGTTGGAGGAGGGGGTGGTGGGTCACGGTCAGAAATGTGGGGGGGGGGCTGGGGGTGTTTTGGGGGTAAGGGGAGGGGCTGTGGGGGGGGGGGGCACAGGGGTCACCGAGGCCCCGCGATCACGTGACCCCGGGTCGTAGAATCCTAATCCGAGGGGCGGGGGAAGCGGGGGGGGGAATTATGAGTCACGTGGTCACGGATCATAAACGCAAACATAATTTCAACAGAAAATACAGAGAGCGAGAGAGACATCAAACCAACAAAATACACCAGGCAGAGCAAGGCGGCATTAAACACAAAGCACACACGATTAAACCAACACAAAGCAAACACAAGACCCCAACACTAAACCAACACAAAGCCGTGGCGCTGAGCAAACGCAGCTGCACCGGCTGGGACGCGGTAACCAGAGTGACTCGCACACAGATACAGCAACATCATCATCAGCAAAATGAGCAACATCAGTAGCAGCATCAGAAACAGCAGTAGCATCATCATCAGCAGCAACATCAGAAGCTGCATTGTCAGCAGCAGCATCATTCAGCAGCAGCATCATCATCAGCATTATCAGCAGCAGCAAGATCAGAAGCAGCAGCATCAGCAGCTTCAGTGGCAGCGTCATCAGCAACATCATCATCACCAGGGGAAGCAGCAGCAGCAGTATCATTAATATTAACAGCATCAGCAGCATCAGTAGCTAAATCATAATCATCATCAGCGGCATCATCGTCCATTCTGCCTTAAGACTCCCTCGTCGTCCTCATCATCATCGTCTTCATCCTCATCACCCCGTCCTCCTCACCTCGGCTCATCGTGTGGACCTCTCCTGGCCCCTCCCCCACCCGATGAGCGAGTTCGCGTCTCGCACCTGTGCCCAGGTGATGCACCATTATCCTCGCCCTCTTGTTCCCCCACGTGTCCCTCGAGGTACTTGGGTTTCCCGAGCCTTTGCTTTGTTTTTGTTCAGCGTCAACCACGGCTCCCACCTCCCCCCCCTCGCGAGATGACTCGTGGATTTTTGTTGTTGTCAGACACCTCGGGGTCAGAGGTGACGCGATGAGGTGGGTGAGAAGGGGGTGAGTGGAAGGTGACCGGGGGTGAATTTGGGGGTGTAGGGAAAAAAATGGGGGTGAGAGGGGTGAGTGAGTTGGTGGGCGGGGGGTGTTTATACGCGCACGAATAACCTCACACATCACCCCTCGTGAAGACGAAGACCCCCCCTTGTAGCCTTATCAGGCTCTTAGAGCAAGTGCTGTTAGAGAACAGCACCGATGAAGGCCGTGGCCGGCACACGAAGGGGTGGGTGGGTGGGGCAGCACCAAGCCCGGCAGCATTTGCGAACAGCACTTGCCCCAACTGTCTTCATGGCTGCGCGGGGATCTTTGTCTTGTGTGTCAATTCAGCCCGGTGCGGTGTGAAAAAACATCGCCACGGGGAAGACAAAGGCGGCCGGAATTCCGGCCACCCCACCCCCTCGTGTTCCCGTGCCGGCCTTCGTAGGTGCTACTCGCCAACAGCACTCGCCCCAAACGGCCTGCGTAGGCTACACGGGGGACATTTGTCTTTGTAAAGTGCGAGCATCACATACCGGCATTCCGGACTGACAAATCACCTTCAAACCCAAACATTCGCGGACAATTTAGCCGAATGTCAAGCGATCCATGGCAGCCACGCGTGCGTGCGTGTGTGCGTGCGCCTGAGTGTGGAGGGGGAGCGGTGGGCGTGGTGGTTAGCGCACTGCAATAGAACTCGGCAACACGAGGTTTCCTCTTCGATTGCGATGAATAACAGTGGCGAGCGAATATGAGGAAGCCTTTTGGCGGTAATAAATTTGCACGTGATAGGCCAACCTCGTTGAGCTGTCAGTTTGGTCCAGGTCGCTTCTGAAAAAGCGCTGTGTAACTCGGTGAACATTACCTGGTAAAATATATATTTTTTTAGTTTTCATAGTTTAAATAGAGTCGGTCCTGGGCCTCCTCTAGGTTGACTCAGCCGTAAACGAGTACGTACCTGGTGCGGTGTGTCAACCTTAGCATTGGGGATACAAAGGCGGCCGGGCGTGGTGTTGACCACCCACTCCCCTCGTGTTCCGTACCGGCCTTAATAGGTGCTCACTAAAAGCATTTCTCCCCAACAGCCTGTTTCAGACTGTATGGAGGATCTTTGGCACGGCGCACGAGGGGATGGGTGGCCAGCGCTACGTCCGGCCCTCTTTGTCTTCCCAGTGCGAATCTCTTCAACACACACCACAGCAAGGCCGTAGCCATGGAGTCAACATTAGGGGGGACCAAATCTTCCAGGGGGTCTGCCCCCCCCCCCCTCCCAGAAAAAATATCTCAATTTGAAAACGAATTTCCTGCCTAAAATATTAAAAAATTAACTAAACACATGGAATGGACTTTTTATTTAAGTTTAACAATAATGTCTAATAGTGTATTGTATGACATTTTCTTGTTTCATTGTATGTAATGGCAGAGATTAAGGATTAATAAAGTACAACCATAACCACAATCATATAAACATAAATCTATGCATTGACTTATATGAAGACAAGTCCAGATATTGTGGCCAAGGTTTAGCAAATTGTTTTTATTTACATGGCATGGCAATTATTTGTTTGAAAAAGTATTGTTTATAGCAATATATTGGGGGGGACATTTTGAACATATTTGAATATTGTGATATATATTATAATTAAGGCCTTACACCACAGACACCCACACATCCAGACACTGGACACACACAGGTATATCCAGTTGTGCGTGTCTATTTGTGACAAAGATCCCCAGTGGAGCCTGAAATGACTGTGAGGGCAAGTGAGGCTAGCGAGCACCTATGAAGGCCACCGTGGCACACGTGGGAGTGGATGGGGAGCACCACGCTCGGCCGCCTTTGCCTCCCAAGCGACGATGTTTACGCACCGCACCAGGTACTCATTTGAGGCTGAGTCGACCTAGGGGAGGCCCAGCACCGGTTCAGATCATCGTCACTGGTGTTGACCGTGAGCTGGAATCGAACTCGGGTCACCTGGTGAGTTAGAAATTCTCACTCACCTGGTGAGCTAGAGAACACATCCTGACTCTGGTGAGTTAGCAATTCTCACTCACCTGGTTACAGAACACATTTTCACTCACCTGGCGAGTTAAAGAACGATTCTCACGGACAGATGTATCAGCGGCTCGAGGTAAGGGTAGGCGACGTCTCGCTCGCCATTGCGTCACGGCATCTTCAGGGGCGTCGACTCCACCGGGAGATTCCCGCGAGTCGGAACAGCCTCGCTGCCACAGGCGGGGATGGTGCCCCCGCTCATGACCACGAGATGCCGCACCTCTGCTTAGCACGGTTGGCGGCGACGTACGGTGGGAAAGAATTTCAACACACACACACACAGCTGACTCTTGAAGAAGAGAGGGAGGGGGGGGGGACCTTGCCTATGAACGCCTGGAAAGTTCACCAGCATTGCTTCAAGAGCCTGACTGTGCTCCTGATGAGACGAAACCGGTCGAGAGAGTGTTTGTTCGAGTTGGACCAAAGCTGCTGTAATCGTGCGCTCTCGGAAGGCCGTGCTGCTGATGGGATGGGTTAAAAAAAAAAACATTAGTTCACGTTCTTATGTGTGGAGAGATAGATATGTGGAGGTGGCGGGTGGGGGGGATCACCTGCTGGTCAAGAGAGCTTTGATATCGAGCGATGCCTCTGGGGTGGTGGGGCGGGGGGGGGGCTAACGTCTGGTTGACGTTCGTCAGCTGTTCACCCTCGCGGTGTGCATTTCACGTTCCGCGCGGTGGCAACACGGGGTGGGGGGGATCTTCTGTTGACCCCTCCACCCCGAGTCCCCGAACGTGGCCGGGCCAGCAGGCAACGTGACAAGGGCGCGCCACCCCCCGCCCCTGCGCGCCCCCCCCCCGAGGGGGGACGCGGGCGCACCCTGTTGGCGTGTCCCCACGGGCGCGCCCCCATGATTACCGCCGCGTTCCAACCACCACCACCGCCGCCGCGCCTTCGCGAGCAGCACGATGCTCCCACACTCCCCTGCGCTCGAGTGCCAATCCAGGGCCAATCCAGGGCCATCTTTCCAGCGGCCGCACTTGGGCCTGCAGTGTCCCAGCAAGCGCTGTGGAGGCAGCGGCAGCGGCCGGGAGCGTTGGCGGATTCGCCGCGCGCGTTGGGCGTGTGAAACTCATCTCTTTGAAACGAACGTTCTTCGAATGGAAACTCGTGTCTTGAGAACTGCGAAGGGAGTCCAACGCACGTGTGCACGCAGTACGAAACGCCCTTCCCTTGGGCGGGCGTCGGAAGAGCAGCCGTAGCCTGGCGAGCGAAAATCTCCATCTGTTCCATCTGGTGATAGGGCAAAGTTGCCCCCCCCCCACCCTCGCTCGCGCGTGGGTTTCCTCCCACGTGGTGTAAACTCCCCCCCCACTCCACCCCCCCCCCCCCCGTGTATACGTAAACAACTCCCCCCCCACTCCACCCCCCCCCGTGTACACGTAAACAACTCCCCCCCCACTCCACCCCTCCCCGTGTACACGTAAACAACTCCCCCCCACCACCCCCCCCCCCGTGTACACGTAAACAACTCCCCCCCCACTCCACCCCCCCCCCGTGTACACGTAAACAACTCCCCCCCACTCCACCCCCCCCGTGTACACGTAAACAACTCCCCCCCCACTCCACCCCCCCCCCCCGTGTACACGTAAACAACTCCCCCCCCACTCCACCCCCCCCCCCCGTGTACACGTAAACAACTCCCCCCCCACTCCACCCCCCCCCCCCCCGTGTACACGTAAACAACTCCCCCCCCACTCCACCCCCCACCCGTGTACACGTAAACAACTCCCCCCCACCACCCCCCCCCCTGGGTATACGCAGCGGGCTACGCCGTGAGAGCGACGCCGCTCTACGAACTCTCTCCCTCTACGAACTCTCTCGCCCTACGAACTCTCCTCTCCCTCTCTAAGAAACCCTCTCGCCCTATGAACTCTCTCGCCCTAGGAACTCTCCCGCTCTAAGAAACTCTCTCGCTCTACAAACTCTCCCGCTCTATGAACTCTCTCGATCGCCCCTGGGAGGCGATAATCACCGCACGACCTCCAGGCCACGATTGCCCGGATTGGGTTCCTCTGCGGCAATGCGCTTTGCTTTTTTGCTCCGATTTTCTATTTGCTTCGCGGCTGTAGATTATTTAGTTTTGTCATTTTGGGGACGCCCCCAGCCCGCCGCTCCCCAGGTCACGCTCTTGCGTCTCATCCTCCTCGCCTCGTGAATTCTCACCGCGTTACACAAAAATCAACTCGAGACTTGACCCCCAACCCACATCTTGTACTTGACATCCGCGTACCACAGTGGTCTCTTATAACCTAGAGAATGCGGTATCGCGACTGGCCGGCAACGTGAAATGTCTAAACGCTGCCTGGCGAGGACGGGAGAGGCTGCCATTCCTCTGCCGGGAGCCGGGCCGGTGCTAGTTCTGGCTCCGGTCACCACCAGCGTGGACAGTCCTCTACTCACTTGGTCCGCCGCTCGGGGCAAGAAGCTGTCAAACAACAGGGAACGGCTCTCTCTTTCTGAACGAAAGAATGGAGGAAGAGGCGTTGGAGCGTGGCGGTGGTGAGGTGCGGGAAGCTGCGAGTCCCAGGCTCCCCTCCCCGTCGACTTTGGGCAAGGAATGGCGACGGTAGTCGTGGTGGGCGCGATGACGGTGGCTTACGCGCCCACCGAAGATGAACAGCATTGGAGGGATGCAGGCAAGGCCGACGAGTCGGATACCCTGCTATGACACCGCGTGCCCAAGGTTGCTGGCTGAAGTGGCTCCTCGGGATAGAATCGTCTTGTTGGCTGCTGGATCAATGAATTTGCCGACATACTTAGTGAAACATTCACACAGACATTATGTTCTCACGCGCACAAAGGCAGCAGCAGCAATGCGGTTCATGACCTCGATGTCAATATCGAGGTCTTCTCACGACCAAAAGACTTCAGGAGTGGGAGTTTGTGTAGCTTTGCTGTTCCTCCTCTTCTGTTGAAGGAGCACGGACTATAGTGGGTTTACTAAGCGGTCAATAGTTTGGGTTGCGTGGACACAATCGCACTACTGTGGCACGCGTCTGCGATTTTCCATTCATGAAGGAGATGTCCGCATTGGCCTGTTGATCTTCGGAAGGACAACCTACCGATGATCAACCAAGACCACGACAACGTCCCTCGCCGCCAACCCAAGTCCCAATCCCACTTCTGGGATCGCGCTGCTGCTGCTGTCGTCGCACTCCCAGAATCTCACCGACCAGATCCGGAAGAACGCTGCTGGGCGAACGGAGTGGAACCACACGGACGTCCAGAATAATAAGAACCTCCTCATTCGAGACGCAAACATCAGCAGCACCTCCTCCTGGCTTTGACTTTCCTCCTCCTCCTCCTCCTCCAAGACACCGGTTGGTGGAACCATCAACCGCACCACCAGAACACAGAAATGAAACACAACCACGAGACGATGCATCAAACACTCTTCTATTCAAAAAGGACAACACTGACCAGACGAATTGCAACAACACTCAGTGGACAGCCCCACTGCCTCCTCCTCCACACGTTGGAGCCCTTCACATGAAATATTAAAGTGTTTTTTAACACATCCCATCAGCCACTCGGCCTTTCTCTTGGCAGTGCATACTTTCCGGTTTCAACATTTAGCAAAGTCAGGCTCGCTTGAACCAATGCTGATGAACTGCCCAGATGTTTACAGGCAAGGCCCCCCCCCCCCCATCTCTCTCTATGGGTCCCTAGTTAGACCCAAAACCCTATCGTACACAGCGCAGGATAATAATTGTAATACACAACACAACATTTAACTATTTTGTGTCAACGATTACAGACGCATTACCATCACAGGTAGTTCACAATCTTGATTTGTAACGGAGTTAGCAAAACACTTCGAGGGCGGTCGCTCGCGCGCGCGACCAGACCCCGCTAGCAGGGGGGGTCAATGATTGGGGTCACGTGGCAACATCACCAACACCTCCCCCTCCAGCACCACCACCGGCGCCACCCCATCACCGCTCGCTCCCGCCGTGGGAGATGGCGACGGATGCGACTGTCCCGGTTGCTGCGTTGACAGCGGCTCCGCAGACGGTCGCGGCGCGGCGGTCGTGCACAGCACTCGCAGCAGGAGGCTGCGGGCGCGCGAGCGCCCCACCGCGGCGCTCACCGTCACCTCGTCGCCCGTGAGCAGCGGCGCCGGGAAGCGCAGGCGCGACGATGCCAGCACGCAGCCAGCGCCGGGCAGCCGCGTGCCCAGCAGCGCCGACACCAGCCCCGCCAGCAGCACGCCGTGCACCACCGCCCGGCCCGGCGCGACGCCAACACCGCTGGCGTCGTGCACGGGGTTGGTGTCGCCCGTGAGCCTTGCGAAGTCGGCCACGTCCTGCGGCGTGAAGACGCGGCGCATCTCGGCGCGGTCGCCCACGGCCCACGCGTCGCCACGGCGACCAGCCGGGGCAGGCACAGGGGGGTGCGACGAGGTGGGGAGGGACGAGGAGGAGGTGGAGTAGAATGAGGCGTTAGCCGTGGCTGGGGATTGAACTCGGGTCGCCGGGTTCATAGGGGATGAGGAGGGGGAAGAGGAGGGGGAGAACACGGGGGAGGAGGTGGATGAAGAGGTGGTGGACCATGAGGTGGAGAAAGTAGAGAAGGGGCCAGGTTGCCCACGGATCCTCCACCCGCACTCCGCCCCCATCCCCCGCCCACCACCAGTTGCTGTTGGCAACAGATGGAGGAGAGCAGAAGGTGTTGGAGGAGACAGCAGGACCCGGAGCTTCGCTATGGCAATCAGGGAGCTCATGGCGAACCGGTACAGCCTCGGCAACCAATTGCAGGCAGCCGATGACAGTCGGAGGAAGTTACAGTCGGTCAGTCCAGTCTCAGGTCCCGGCTGTTGCCCGACAGAGACAGCAGAAATGGAGACACCTGGTGGAGACAGGAGACAATTGTCAGAGGCGCCGAGACCCTGGGTTCCAATCCGGGTTTCAACCACAGACTCTCACAGGGACCCGCAGACTTGCATTGAGACCCGCAGACTCACATAGAGAGCAATAGAAGGGATCTCAGAGGTAGCTCTGCGATATCCACTTCCGCGGGATGTTCCGTGTGAGATTTATATTTCGTGACCGCCAGGGGCGGAGCCAGGATTTTTGACTTTGGGGGGGGGGGGCTGACTTCAATATTCTGAGATATCCAGTGTTTATGTTTTCCAATGGGCGCCACAAATGTATAAAACAAATTGCATTGGATTTGAACGCGGAGTATATTAATAGGTCGGAGCCGCTGATGTGGCTCATAAGTTCGATAAGTTCGAAAGGCTGCCGCTCAAGCAGCCTGCAGGGCAGCACACAAGGTGGCAGCCTGCAGGGCAGCACAAGGTGGCAGCCTGCAGGGCAGCACAAGGTGGCAGCCTGCAGGTCAGCACACGAGGTGGCAGCCTGCAGGGCAGCACAAGGTGGCAGCCAGCATTTTGCAGCAGCCGGATATCCGGTTATCCCGATTACCGACTTTCCCAAAATTTCAGGGGGGGCTTAGCCCCCCCCAGCCCCCCCCTCTGGCTCCGCCCCTGGTGACCGCGCAATGCCGATATTTATCGCAGTCGGGGATCACGTGGGAAGGAAAACGTCAGAATTAATTAACAAAAAAATGTGCCCGTCATTTGCAAGCGGGATTCAACAAAGTTGCTTCGCGTTGCCGAGTAATGGGTAACTGTACCGTGTGTTGCAAAGCGTCTAGAACAACGCGACACAGACCACCACAACAAAGACCACGTTGCACGCAACAACAAAAACCAAAACGATGCAGGCAACCTTTCACCGTTCAATATTTAGATTGAACTCCGAGTCCAGGGCTGGTTTGCCTGCTGTATAAATGTAAACTTGGATCACCCGATGAGACACTCACCTGCTGGATGTGGACGGCAATGACGAAGCCTTGGTGCCTCGCGGCCAGAGATAGCGACGCCCACAGACGCACGAGCCCACTGACACGCGTACAAAGACAAAGGTCCCCCAGGTAGCCTTAACAGGCCGTTGAAGCAATTGCCGTAGACGAGCACCTTTGAAGGCCGGCACGGCAAGCCTATGATGGCGTGGTGTGGCCAGCTGCATGCCTGGTGTTTAATAGTGGTGTTTAATACACACCGCACAAGGTACTCGTTACAGCAGTGGTTCTTAGCCATTACTGCAGCCTTACACACCCTCTTTGTTTTCAATCGTAAAACAAAAATGAATCATGTTAATAAATACGTAGGTTTGATAAAACAAAGTAAGTTGCATTCACGTGCCCGTGCTCAATTTGTGTTTTCGATTATTTACCTTCTAAGAAAAATCTGGCCACGCCTCGCACCCCCCAGACAGGGCATCTCGCACCTCCAGGGGGTGCGTGCACCCCAGGTTAAGAAGAAGAAGAACCACTGGATTACAGGCTGAGTCGACCTCAGGGGAGGCCCAGGACCGGTTCAGATATTCGTCACTATTCACTGGCCGTTAGCGGGAATCGAACTCGGGTCTCTGGGTTCACAGCAAAATGCGCTCATTATTGCGCCGCCGCTCCCCACACTCTCACATATACACAGAGGGCAGCAGCATGGCGGTCCAGTGGTGACACTCGCGCCTCACAGCAAGCAGTGCCAGGGTTCGATTCCCCACTCGGACGCCTGTCTGTGTGATGTTGCTAAGTTCTCCCCGTTCGCCAGAGAGTGTGGGGAGTCTGTATATTTTCCCATTGCTCTGCATGGATTTCCTCTGGGTTCTCCAGCTTCCTCCTCCCATAGCTAAAACCACACACACACAGCGGTAATGGCAATGCTTTAAACCACATCCCGATGCTCAAAAAAATTATCTGCAAATCGCTTAATTGGGATAACACAGCAGCAACATCGCTGCTGACTGCGTAAATTAGGCAGGAGCCTTGAGACTCGACGAGGCCCTCCTGGGTAAACGAGCGGAATCGTGATGGTGATGATGACACCATCGGCGTTGCAGGCGGTGGCCGGGTACCTGCTGATGACGCGCAGTATGCACGACTGTGAGCGAGCATCAAATCTGATTACGTCGAATGGCAGAGCAGCTCCCACCTACACGTGCAAAGAGAGAGGGCGGCACGGGGGAGAGAAAGACAGAGCGATGGGGTTAGAGGGAAACGGACACTTGCACTTACACAGACACCAATATCCCCCGTGCTGTCAGCGAGCACCGATTAAGGGCGGCACGACACACTAGGGCGTGGTTGGCCAATGCCATGCCCCGGCTGCCTTTGTCTCCACAGCGCTGATGTTTACACAAAGTACCAGGTACTTATTTAAGGTCGAGTCGACTTAGCGGAGGCCCTGGAATGGTTCAGACGTTTGTCGAAGTGGAGTGCAGTGCAGCTCTAACCACATTTCGTCACCACTCCCGCACACACCATGGTCGTTGTGAAATTTCAGAACTCGATCTTTGTTTTGCCAAACGCACATATCTGTTTATACACAAACACAATACAGATGCACAACACATAGACAAAGATCCCCCGTATCGGCTTAACAAACTGTTGGGGCAAGTGCTGTTAGCGAGCACCTATGAAGACCGGCACGGCACACGAGGGGGTTGGGGGCCAGCACCACGCCTTTGTCTCCACAGTGGCGATGTTTTCACACATCGCACCAGGTATTCATTTGAGGCTGAATCGACCTAGGGGAGGCCCAGGACTGGTGTTGGCCGTGAGCGGGAATCGAACGCGGGTTACCGGGTTCGTAGTGCAACGTGCCCACCACTTCACTACCGACCTTTGTTTTTCCAAAGGCACATATTTTTTTCACACACACAACACACGCACACAACACACACCTGGGGACACACAACAACCGCCACTCGCTACTTATAGTAGGTGACGTCACCATGGCGCTTGTGCAAGGCTAGGTACACCTTGAGTCCAGGTAAAGTGTCAAAGGCTCGCTGTCAGGAGGTCAAGGGACAGACCCAGGTGATTAGAGTTGACTGAGATGACTGGCAAATGCACCCACCTATGCTCCCTACCGTGCCACCTCGCTGTGTTTTAGCCGCCCAACACTCCGCTCGTTGTTGTGAGCGTCGTTCCTCTGCCCTCCATTGTTTTTGGAGGGCGACTGCCAAATAGTGTCCCACATGAGAGGCTCCTCCCCCACAGAGGACGATCTTGACACCGCTGGTACCAGTCAACCGCAGGTCCACCCAGCTCCACATACTCCCGTACCACATAAAGTCCGGAGCTTCGCATGGAGCAAACAGGCGAGGTATGTTCTATATAACGTTACACAGCCGATAAAAAGATAATTCCACTCGACTGATTCGGAATGAGACCTCCACTGCCAAGCCGAAGCTTGTTATAAGCACGCTGCCCATGTATGGGAACTCCGCTACTCTCTCCACAACTGCCCTACCGCTCACGGGGAGTGGAGGCGGTGCGGCGAGTGACTCACCTCCCCATGCAGCTCACGGAGAGCGTTGGTGACAACCAGACGGAACTCCGCTTCGTTCAGTCTCACTCCCTCCTCCTCACACTCCCTAGGGGTGAGGCGGTGAGGGGGGTGAGAGGATGAGGAGTCGAGGGGGGTGACAGTGTTTCAGCTGCCGTGCCGAGAGATGGAATCGCAAGTTCAGTGCTGCTGCTGACCGCAGCGTCTCAGTGGACAAGGTGAACACGCTGTGTTTGTTGCTCCAGGCGTTTCAGGAAACCTGTAACCGGTTTTAACCGTTTTATGTTACCGGAAATGCAGAAGACCGGGTTTTCAATCACCCGAATAGAGACAACCTCACAATGTAAACATAATGACCTGTGTACTGCGTATGTACTGTGCATGTACTGTGCATGCAAAGCGTGTGTACTGTGCTTGTATTGCGCGTGTATTGTGTACTGCGTGTGTACTGCACGTGCATTGTATGTACTGCGTATGTACTGCACGTGTGTTGTGTGTACTGCGTGTGTAGTGCACGTGCATTGTCTACTGCGTGTGTACTGCACGTGTATTGTGTGTACTGCGTGTATACTGCACGTGTATTGTGTACTGCGTGTGTACTGCACGTGTATTGTGTGTACTGCGTGTGTACTGCACGTGCATTGTGTGTACTGCGTGTATACTGCACGTGCATTGTGTGTACTGCGTGTATACTGCACGTGCATTGTGTATACTGCGTGTATACTGCACGTGCATTGTGTGTACTGCGTGTGTACTCCACGTGCATTTGTGTGTACTGGGTGTGCACTGCACGTGTATTGTGTGTACTGCGTGTATACTGCACGTGCATTGTGTGTACTGCGTGTATACTGCACGTGCATTGTGTGTACTGCGTGTGTACTGCACGTGTATTGTGTGTACTGCGTGTGTACTCCACGTGCATTGTGTGTACTGCGTGTGTACTGCACGTGTATTGTGTGTACTGCGTGTGTACTCCACGTGTATTGTGTGTACTGCGTGCATACTGCACGTGCATTGTGTGTACTGCGTGCGTACTGCACGTGCATTGTGTGTACTGCGTGTGTACTGCACGTGCATTGTGTGTACTGCGTGTGTACTGCACGTGCATTGTGTGTACTGCGTGTGTACTGCACGTCTAGCATGTGTACTGCGTGTGTACTGCACGTGTATAGTGTGTACTGCGTGTGTAATGTGTGCATTGTGTGTACTGCATGTTTACTGTGTGTACTGCATGTGTACTGTGTGTACTGCGTGTGTACTGCATGTGTATTGTGTGTACTGTGTGTGCACTGTGTGTAATGTGTGTACTGCGTGTATACTGCACGTGAATTGTGTGTACTGCGTGTGTACTGCACGTGTATTGTGTGTACTGCGTGTATACTGCACGTGGATTGTGTGTACTGCGTGTGTACTGCACGTGTATTGTGTGTACTGCGTGTGTACTCCACGTGCATTGTGTGTACTGCGTGTGTACTGCACGTGTATTGTGTATACTGCGCGTGTACTGCACGTATATTGTGTGTACTGCGTTGGTACTGCGTGTGTACTGTGTGTACTGCACGTGCATTGTGTACTGCGTGTGTAGTGTGTACTGCGTGTGTACTCTGTGTATTGTGTGTACTGCATGTGTACTGTGTGTACTGCATGTGTACTGTGTGTACTGCGTGTGTACTGCGTGTGTACTGCACGTGTATTGTGTGTACTGTGTGTATTGTGTGTACTGCATGTGTACTGCATGCGTACTGTGTGTACTGCGTGTGTACTGCATGTGTGTTGTGTGTACTGTGTGTGTACTGTGTGCATTGTGTGTACTGCGTGTGTACTGCACGTGTATTGTGTGTACTGCGTGTGTACTACGTGTGTACTGTGTGTACTGCACGTGCATTGTGTACTGCGTGTGTAGTGTGTACTGCGTGTGTAATGTGTGTATTGTGTGTACTGCATGTTTACTGTGTGTACTGCATGTGTACTGTGTGTACTGCGTGTGTACTGCATGTGTATTGTGTGTACTGTGTGTGCACTGTGTGTAATGTGTGTACTGCGTGTGTACTGCACGTGTATTGTGTGTACTACGTGTGTACTGCACGTGTATTGTGTGTACTACGTGTGTACTGCACGTGTATTGTGTGTACTACGTGTGTACTGCGTGTGTACTGCATGTGCATTGTGTGTACTGCACGTGCATTGTGTGTACTGCGTGTGTACTGTGTGTATTGTGTGTACCGTGTGTGTACTGTGTGTATTGTGTGTACTGCGTGTGTACTGCGTGTGTACTGTGTGTACTGCGTGTGTACTGTGTGTGTACTGCACGTGCATTGTGTACTGCGTGTGTAGTGTGTACTGCGTGTGTAATGTGTGTATTGTGTGTACTGCATGTGTACTGTGTGTACTGCATGTGTACTGTGTGTACTGCGTGTGTACTGCGTGTGTACTGCATGTGTATTGTGTGTACTGTGTGTGTACTGTGTGTACTGTGTGTACTGCGTGTGTACTGCACGTGCATTGTGTGTACTGCGTGCATACTGCACGTGCATTGTGTGTACTGTGTGTGTACTGCACGTGTACTGTGTGTACTGCGTGTGTACTGCATGTGCATTGTGTGTACTGCACGTGCATTGTGTGTACTGCAGGTGTATTGAGTGTACTGCATGTGTACTGCGTGTGCATTGCGTGTACTGCAAGTATATTGTGTGTACTGCATGTGTACTGTGTGTACTGCATGTGTACTGTTGTACTGCGTGTGTACTGCATGTGTAATGCACGTGTACTGCACGTGTACTGTGTGTATTGTGTGTACTGTGTGTGTACTGTGTGTGTACTGCACGTGTACTGTGTGTTCTGTGCGTGTACTGCACGTGACTGTGCGTGCACTGTGTGTACTGCATGTGTACTGTGTGTGTACTGCACGTGTACTGTGTGTACTGCATGTGTACTGTGTGTACTGTGTGTGTACTGCACGTGTACTTTGTGTATTGCGTGTGTACTGCGTGTACTGCGTGTGTACTGCATGTGTACTGTGTGTACTGCGTGTATACTGCGTGTACTGTGTGTGTACTGCGTGTGTACTGTGTATGTACTGCACGTGTACTGCACGTGTACTTTGTGTACTGCGTGTATACTGTGTGTACTGTGTGTATACTGCACGTGTACTGTGTGTACTGTGTGTGTACTGCACGTGTACTGTGTACTGCGTGTGTACTGTGTACTGTGTGTACTGCACGTGTACTGTGTGTACTGCGTGTGTACTGCACGTGTACTGTGTGTACTGCGTGTGTACTGTGTGTACGGTGTGTACTGCACGTGTACTGTGTGTACGGCGTGTGTACTGTGTGTACTGTGTGTGTACTGCACGTGTACTGTGTGTACTGCGTGTGTACTGTATGTGTACTGCACGTGTACTGTGTGTGTACTGCGTGTACTGTGTGTACTGTGTGTGTACTGCACGTGCATTGTGTGTACTGCGTGTGTACTGCACGTGTATTGTGTATACTGCGTGTGTACTGCACGTGTATTGTGTGTACTGCGTGTGTACTCCACGTGCATTGTGTGTACTGCGTGTGTACTGCACGTGTATTGTGTGTACTGCACGTGTATTGTGTGTACTGCGTGTGTACTGCACGTGTATTGTGTGTACTGCGTGCATACTGCACGTGTATTGTGTACTGTGTGTGTACTGTGTGTTTACTGTGTGTACTGTTTGTACTGCGTGTGTACTGCGTGTGTACTCTTCTCACAGGCGTGCTCGCAGGTAGAACCACTGGCAGCTTGAGTTGATGACGATTTTCTCGAACGCAGCCTCTCGCCCGCGGGGTCCAACTCCCCTCATCCCGGGTGCCCCCTCGACGATCACAGGGGGTCCTCACGGGGGTTCCTACGACGTATCGTCATCATCATCATCAGCCATGACCTATCCACCGCTGGATGAAGCCATCGCTGCCCAACCTGGCGTCGCCATCTCTCGCGACGCAACAACCCTCTCCACGAACTAATTTCGTCGCTCCATCTCCCCGGTGGACGTCACCCCCCCCCCCCCCCCCCCCCCCCCCCCACCCCCCCCCCTAGGGCGTGTTGTTTCACTCCTTTGGCTGCCACTCCGTTATTAGCCGGTCCCTTCTGGCCGTGACGCCTCCTGCCCAAGGCCTCACTCACGTCTCTAAAACCGTGCATGTCCTCTCTCACCCGTATGTGTGTGTTCCTCTGCCTCTCTGACTAATTCCCAGCGTGAATCTCGCCCCAACCCTCCCGCACGCTTCTCCGCGAACTCTCCGTCTCGACTGTCTCTGCTCCACGCATCCCGGTCCCCCCTGAGTGGGACCTCTTCCTCTCTAGGGCGCCAGTCTGCGGTAGCCACAGCGTGCCATCACGTCGCCGTTTCACGCACCGCGCCGCAGTAGAGCATTTACATTCAAAACACTGCATTATGACAGCACCTCACCACTCACACTCTCCCCGCCACTCCACGACCCCACCACTCACCCCACCACCACTCACCCCACCACCACCACTCTCCCCACCACCACTCACCCCACCACCACTCTTCTTACCTCTCCTCACCTCTCACGAGAGCCTCGCAGTTTTGGGAGGTTCGTCTCGCAGCTGCTGCGTCAGCTCCCTCCGCGTCTCGTGGCGGCCATGTTGGTAAGGGGGTAGACGCCCTCTGGGAGTGTAACACGCAGCAGCAGGCTTTAGACCACCAATATTATTAATCATAAAGGTTTTTGGGTTTAATCGCGCAAGTATAAATGTGTCGTAAACATCCACCACAAGGACACAGCCAATCAATCGGGGATTTGTCACGTAAACAACGCGCCAATTAGTAACTACTTCATTCTACCGGTGTTGTTGGAGAGTAAATCCACAACATTTACAATTTGAGTAGTACGACGTTTCGCTGATAGTTACATCAACCAGCATCATCGGGCGATTTGCCTCCAACTACCAGAGGACCCCCCCTCCTCCCTGAGCAACATGGCCGCCAAATTACAAAACGCTTTAACGTGGTCCCTCGACGAGACGGACCGTACCATTAGGTCTATGAGGTATCCGGATTCTTTGAGAGAGAGAAAATGCATCGGACACATTAATTAATCAAAAACCTCTAAAACAACATTCTCAATAGCTTATTATATTATATATAACAAGTTTAAGCGTGTTCAATTGCAACGATCGTACTTTATGTGGGTAACTCTACAATGGAATACTCCAATTCCCCCCTTCAATACGTAATGGTACATTTCACCGTCGTCTTTACGACAGCGGCCCGGAGCGGTCTTTGCGACACTTGGCACGTGGGGTAAAGTGTGGGTGGCTCCCGCCTCTTCCAAAGTCGTCTCAGCCAGCGTGGAAGAGTAGACCAAATATCCTCGGCTAAGCTCGGCAAATGGTAGAAGCAAATCAAAATAAGGGGCCGTTCATAAAATACGTCACGCACCTGGGGGGGGGGGGGTCAGACATTCGTGACGATGTGTGACGAGGGGGGGGGGGGTTGAGAAATGTGACGTCACATCAAAATGCGCAACTTTAAATAAATATAAACAACACGTTCTACTTATCTTCTTTTTTCTTCTTTGGTTCTTTCGGTAAAGTCACGTAGAATGAGAATAAAATAAATTGATAAAATAACACAATAATATTCTCACGACGTTTCGGCCACAACACAAGCGGCCTTCATCAGGTGAAGGGACGAGACTGTCTGGAGGACAGCGCTTGTGTTGAATGATCTTAAGGTTGTGTGGAATCCCTCCCCGTAGAGGCGGTTAAATTTCGATTTAAAGCGTTCGTGACTGCAAGGATTCATCTTCTTTGGTTCTTTCGGTAAAGTCACGTATTAAATAAACTTTGTAATAAATGTTTTCGCCTACAACATCAGAGCGCAGCGCTACGTTAAATACGCACTACAATGACAATAGTTTCAAAATGGAAATATGGTTTGAGGGGGTGGGCAGAGCTTTGTGACGTCATATTTGAGGGGGGGGGAGTTCTGACTTTTTGTGACGCCGTGTGACGAAGGGGGTGGGGGATCAAAAAACGTCCAAAATCCCGTGACGTCATTTATGGAAGGCCCCTAAGTGCAAAAACAGCCGAATATAAATCTCCAGTCCTCTCCAGCGGTGACAATTCCCGCTGTAAATTCCTGAATGAGCGGCTACGGTGCCGCGCTAATTTGCCAAGCGGCGCTCCAACAAACCGGGTTCTCGTCACATCGCGCTACAAACCACGGCGCAGCCATCGCTAACATCCATAACAAGAACAGCGCTAATTAATCTGTATGTCCCCTGCAGAGAGTGTAACGTTTATTTGTTTAACCAGGTGGGAACTCAGGAGGGCAGGATCGAGGCTCGTTTCGAAGAGTGACCTGGGTCATTAAAATGACGAGGAATATATATTTTAAACCCATATAATGTGACGTTGGTGTTGACAAAACATCCCCAAAGCTGAGAAATTCCTTGCAAATCACTCAACTGGGAACGCACAGCAGCAGCAACATCGCCCTACCCTTCCCTATTGAAAAAAAACTTGACAGGACGCTCCTGAAAAAGAGTAGAGTATTGAGACTCGGGTTTCCACGGGTGGAACAGCCTAACAAAGTACAAACATGATTCAAATGGAACTCGGAGCAAAAGCCTCACCGAGTCCCAAGTCTCGATCTCAGGGCACCTGATCAATCGGGATCCTTGGCCAGGAAGTCCATTCGCGTGGCAGGAAACTTGAGAAGCCCGGAGAAAACCACCACCACGCGAGGGAGACAGCTCCGTTACACGTTGGCTAGGAGATGTTAACTACCTCGCCAGGTATACAGGAGGTCGTTTGTTCCATCCCGACCCTGACACGTGCTGTATATTCGGATTTTGCATCTTCTCCCCGTGGTCGCGTGGATTTTTTCTCCGGGTCCTCTGATTTCTCCCTCCACATTTAGCAACATGCGTTTAGAGTATGTGGCTGCTTTACATTTCCACGTGATGATAAGCCACTTCGTTGAGCCATCATTTGTGACCAGGTCGCTTCTGAAAAAGAGCTATATAGCTCAAGTGGGCCTGACCTGGTAAAATAAAGTTTTGTTCACTTTCGTAACGCCGCCGCGTTCATCCACGCGGTGTCGCTGTGAGTCCATCTCCACACTGCTGGTTTAGTTACTTTTGTGTAACCAGGCGAGAGTTCTCTCTGGGTCTCCAGAATGACAAAAAGCAATACGGTAACTTCTCGCCAAACGCGTGGTGTTTACACGACGCGTTTTACCATTTGGGAACACTTTTCGCACAACGCGGAAGGCACACCGTTATAACGTGGAACGCGCCAACCGCCCCCCGTTATAACGCAATTTCTGAACGGCCGACGAACTCCTTTCTTGAGCTGCATTGAAGAAAATTAAGATGAGAGCAAGAACAAGCAATTAGAAATCAGTGTAAGAAAAACTGTTACAGGAGAAATTAAAAAGAGTGCAAAAACTAATTACTTAGATAAAGTTATTTAAATTGCAATGAAAGGTGATTCTGGAATATTACTTTTAAGGCATTTTTTTAAAATTACAGAGTGGGATACAAAGTTGCTATAATCGTCATTGCTATTTCATTACTAGATATAATCATTGTTATCGGTGTGGAGAATGTAAGATCTTAACCAAGCACGGTCCCTCGCCTCCTTTCCATAAAGGTCCCTCCACATAAAATATGTAAAGTATTTTTAGGCACATCCCATCAGCCGCAGACATGGCCTTCCTTCTTGCAAGTAATTTTTTTTTTACTTCCAGCAGCATTGGTTCAACGCGAGAAAAAAACTACTCTGGACCAATTTCGACATTCAGTGTCTCATCAACAGTCAGGCGTGCTTCTGTGTTGCGTTGATAGTTTTACGTCGAACTGGGTAAAAGGCACAGATAACAGAAAGAGTGACCTTGCCTATAAACAGCTGGCAGTTACACCTGCATTGCTTCAAGCGAGCCTGACTGCTGATGAGACGTTGAATGGCGTCGCCGGTCCTGATGTTACTTGTGTTGTGCTTATAAGGATCACTCCCAGAAGGTACGTGTAGCTGCTGGGAATGTGCGCGGTGAAGCGTGACGCAGCAGTTAGCCCGCTGCGCTATGTGCCCGGCCACCCGAGTTCGATTCAGGCTCAGGGCCAACACCGCTGATGATTAAACTGCCCCTGGGACCTTCCCTAGGTTGACTCAACCGCAAATTATACCCCATATGGTGTGTAAACATCGCCACTGGGGAGACAAAGGGGGACCGGGCGCCCTGTCGTTGTGCGTCGTCCCGGCGTTCGTTCGTAGGTGCTTGCGAACAACCCTTCTCTCATTAGTCTTTTAGGGCTATACGGGTGACCTTTGTCATTGAGGGACAGATAAGGGAAGGAGACGCATTGTCTGCTGGGCTATGTTGTTATTTAAGGACTGGCCACGTGGACGTTTAACGCGGACCAAAGTCGGCTCAGCGCGGACCATTTTTGGTCATCGCCGACTTGGAAATAGAATTTTGCTCTGAAGATGTTCAGCTGTGAGTCACCGCCCTCGAGGCTCCACGTGCAGCGAACACCGCGGAGATGAATCGCGGAGAGGCAACCCGCGGCCCTCCTCCTGTTGTCGAAGCCGCGAACAACCGAGACCTCTCACGTGAACAACATCGCGCAGCAGACGATCCGCAGCATCCTTCCCATATCCGTGTCCCTACACATTCCACGGAATAAATACAAGCACTTTCTTTTACACATCCCATCAGCCACAACTGGCATTCTCTCTGAGCATTGATTGTTTCAAGGGGTGGGGAAGGGGGGCTCTCAATTCGTCCAAGTTCAATACTGGTCCTGGGGCCGTCGGAAGCCTGACTCTTACGCTTGTGTACTCGGGGCAAGCTGCTTCGTTGAGTCTCGTAACACAACGAAGTTTTCGCAGAAGGGGGCGAGTATTAGCGTGCAGATTCCCAAGTACCGTGTTGTGTTACACCATCCCATCAGCCACAACGGGCCTCGCCGTGATCGGACGCATTGGTTTAGCGCGAGCAAAACTTTTCGATATTCAGTTTCTAGACTCGGTGTCTCATCAGCAGGGCGAGGCGCGCTTGAAACGGCGAACCCGCGAGGTGTTCGCTCCGATGAGGACATGAGCGGAGGGAGTCGAGGGAGTGGTCTCGTCGACAGCGTCTCTCCACTCAGCGCCCACGGCTTTACCTGTGGTCTGGTGCGGAGAGGGGACGTACGGGAAACATCACGATGGACTGAGCCCATTGAACGCGGGAGGTGAAAGAATTTCGAAAGCGAAACAAACTCTCTCTCTCACCTGAAGTCATGTCGCCGTGGCCGGGAGAGCTCGACATTGGGCATTTAGCTCCTGAACAACGTATTTGCTGTCATAATGCAAGAAGAAGCTCGAGGGCAGATAGATAACCCATAGAGACACAGAGACCCATTTAGATACATAGAGACACGTAGAGATACATTAAAGACACGCCACAATTGTGCTCTTGTGGCCGCACAATTGAAACCCTGGGACCTTAGAGTGAAACCCGTGTACAGGGTGGTCCAGATGTCTTGCGACCCCTAAATAATTAATTAATATTTGCGTATTCATTTATGTTTTAAATAAAACTTACTTTCAAACAATATTACGTTTACGAGAATTAAATGGGGGTCACAAGGCATCTGGGCATTACCTGGTACAATTAAAAAAAAAATGTGTTTAGTTTTAGTTTGGATTGTCTGGACCACACTGGAATCTGCGCTCCTGCTACGGAGGAGGGAGGATGAGGAAGCTCAAAACGACACGAACTCTCTCTCTCTGTGATGAAGTTCTCTTAATTGTGTCCAGTAGAGCAGATCTCTCAACAGTGGCATCGAGCTGCTGCACGTATTGAGAGTGAATGTGGGTCATCCCCAATAAACGTCTGGCGGTTTCACCTGCAAATTGGTTTGAGCAGGGCACGACACTGCTGGCGGGACACTGAATAATGTCGACAACC